CGATTTACATATGATTTGACCCCAAAATATTGATTTATATCGATCTAAATAAATCAATATTTTTACATGTCCCTGACCTAGAATCGTCAAAATTGAACTCGCTAATTGGCTGTTTCTTTTTAGGGTTTGTAGAGCATAGCAGGCTTGCATTCCGATTGGCTAGAATATCAGAATGTTATACTGATAATCTTTACATATTAGAACAGCTCCCTAGTTAACTTTAAATCAATTGTACATCATGAAAACAAATTGTAAAAAGTTGCAACCAAAAAAATCTTAAAGTATACCTTTAGCCTTATATATAGTTAAAATAATTTGAGAAACGGTGAGATAATTCAGAAGTTAGCTAAGAAATGTTTATTTGAAAGCATGTCTGCACAAGATTCTCATCGTGAAGATCTAGTCCTCTCTAGTGGAAGCAAAGAAAAAAGAAAAAGCCGGCACTGTGATTTAAAGGATCAGGAGAGGATTATTTGTGATAAACAGCATGGTGCTTATATTGTGTCTGATCAGGTGATCATACCAAGTTCCAGTTAACATTTGGACTTGGTTGGCAAGGCTTTGTGCAGAAAACATTATAACAAACTGATTGTAAATGCAAAAAGATCTAAGACTAACTATGTATATTCATACCCAAAACATCAGGTATATACTTCTACAGCACGATCCGGTACAGAAACAATGGCTTTTTTTAAGGTTCCAGAACGTTTACTCAATTTCTTTGAGCTACAACAAGGGGCGATGATATGTCATTGTTGCTTATACAAAACCAACGATAATCTAGAATATGTTAATTCACCCAACTATTTGCTGCTGCCAGAAAGGATTTCAAAAGAAGATATAAGAAATTTTCAAGATAGGTCGTATGTATTAAGAGACGATATTATTTACTCTCAATCTGAGTTCCAAGAACTGGAATCCGCATATCATGAAGTATGTGCAGAGCTTGATGAAACAAAATTAGGTAAATAAATAATTATTATTTTATTATTATACTTTCGATTGCTGATAATTTTTTTTATTTTTAGAGTTGGTTCCCCTTAGCAAGAAAATTATGCTAATGGCAGGTGTGTTATACACAAAGCAGCGTGTGTATAAGGAGAAACCTGTCCTTGATCCCGATGAATTCAAGAAAATGCTTGAAGAAAGTGAACCGTTATTGAAAGATTTTTTCGATCAATTAGTAACTGGAACTAACCCAAAAGTGAAAAATAACATGACTAATGAAAAAAATAAGAAACTACTAGTTTCTTTTTGTTATTTTTTAGCAGGTCTTAATAATAAATTTATTAATAGAGTTAAAGCAGAGGTTGGATATTTATTAGATGCATCTGGAACATCATCATCAGCAATAGAAACCTTAGCAGATACTGGCTTAACGGTATGACATGAGACTATTGTACGGCAAAAAACCCAACATGTAAAAACACAGGCAATGATAGTAGAAAGTTTTCTGTCAAATAATGTAAGCCTAGAAAAAAACTAAAATTTGAATTTCTATATATATATATATTATATAATATAGTATTTTGTTTTATGCTTTGAATTTTCAAATTACTAATCAATATACATTTTTATTGAGATGAAAAGCTAATTGTACTTAACATTGATGATTTACATAACATACACGAATACCGTCATAGTGATTCAATGTTAACACATAATATCCTTCACTTCGCTACAGTATTGCTTAAAGCTCTGCCGGATACAGCATCAATCCCGAACATTAAAAATAAAAATATTCACAATGAAAGAGGTATTGATGCAAAAATAATTATCAACAATACTAACTTATTTTTTTTTTCTAATTTATGGTATAGTTACGCGGTATGAAAGTCAATATTTGTCAATTCAATGCCTTTGCCTACGATACACGAAGAGCGAGTTAAACATTTATTAGTTCACAGTTATGATATTCGAATCGAACAACGTAAAGAAGATCAAAGTATAGACAATACTAAACTTGTAGAACTAAAGGAAGAAGCACTTCATTCAGTCAATGATTAAGTTTGATGGATATAACTGAAGCGAAGTTTTACTTTGAAACACAAATTATGGTAACACCTATGGATTATCCCGGGCAGCTTAACGTACGACGTGCTGTTAATCATAGAATTAAATTTGGAAATTCATCTGGTATACCAGAGCAGGTTCTTCATATAGTGCCAATGATTGGGCCTCTACATGTATCCTTGAATAGCCATAAGACTGTATTTCTTGTTAATTATAATTTTTTTGAAAAGCTTTATCTTGGTATTTATAGGGACGGGAAGGTTTTGGCTAAAAGCCAAAACCTTACAAAATAAATTTATTATTAGAGTTAGCATTTAAAGGCTGGTCTCAAATTCGTCTAACGGTTCTACGGAAATTTGAGCAATCGAAAGATTCAGAAGTCAGATATTTAATTAATCTTCTAGATAATATTATTCCACTGGTTTTGGATTTTTATCCTGTTATATTTCACAGTGGAAACTGGCCGGTTTATCGAGAAGCGATGTTTCGTGTTTGGAATATTTTTTATCAATACCAGCAGAAAAACTATAATAAGTTGCCGCTAGCTTTTTTGAGTGACACGTTTTATTGGGGTAGTATTAATCATCCTATTGCACACGCACTTACTAATTCTCTTCATGTATTTAATGATTATTATGTAGAAAATTTTTATAGCTCAATTAGATGTCAAGTACAACCATCTAACATGGCTGAACAAATCATTCGAGAAGCACAGATAATAGATCTAATGCGTAACAAAAATGCATTCGAGAAAGCTTTTTCTGACAATCACAACATTAGATATTCAGCAAGGCAACTAGAATATCTTGAAAAACGAACTGCATTATGTTTACTAAATCTTTTTACGAATGTCTATAAAAACTTAGATCAATCTGTCATAATATCGGGTTCAAAATTGAAATGTAGATTTCCAACACTAAAAGATGATATCGATGTCATGGCGTTGCCAATGGCATAGAATACTGCATATCCTTCACGGAATGATAAGTACTGTGATTTGGAAGACTGTAGAAGGACTTGTGAGATAGGATTTATACTTATTTGTGGTCATGCTTATCACTTCGAATGTTTATTATTTAGGTTGGGTAGTCAATGTAAGTATTGCAAGGACTATCTTGTAAGTGGAATCAAGAAAAATTGTAGATCTTTTCAAGAAACTGTAAGTATGATTGGAGAAAAGACAACGGTTAAAGATAAAAACAATCAGAATACTACTCAAACCACTAAAGATACTAGTACTATTGAAGTTGATAATGTATCTTTAGATAATAATATAGACCAGTTGTTTGATAAGGCTATAGATAAATTTAGGTCCGCGTAGTTGTAAAAATTTTATTTAATTCGCTAATGTTACCCATGTACTGTATATATAGCTAGTTTTTAAAATATTCATAATAAAAAAAAATTGCGCTTAATAATTACAAATTAAATTGATTTTAAAATTATCGATCTTTATTACAACTATTTTTTAAAAATTACATTTTATTCTTAA